AGACCCCCTTTCATTTGGGTCTAGTTGTGGGGCTGATGGGAGCTGGTTCATTAGGTGCCCAGGACTTGGTACAAAAGGCCAACCATGGGCTATCAAGTTTCCTCTCTAACATCTGGGGCAATTGATGGGAGAAAATGTGGGTCTCCAAGAATAGAAATTGGTCCCCCCGCCCACCACAGAAGCTTCCACGGGAGTCCCTGACTCCTCCCTAGGACTCCGTGTTGCTGAACACCATGGAATTCGAGGTGTTCAGATGTGGTGATGCAACTTCTCGAATGCCACATCCAGTCACCGTCCCCCCTGCCTTCTGGTCCTTTCTTTGCATAGCCAGGCCAGAGACTTTGACATTAGGTGAAACTGACCCAAGAGCACCACCAGTGCCAGTGCTCAGACCACCTCAACCAGGGCAAGTTCCACAACCTCTGAAGGTCACTGAACCAGCCCTCAGCTTTTGGGTGCGGTGTTAGAGCAAACCAGCTATATGCAGAGAAGTGATAGAAAATACACACTTTTTTTTTTTTTTTGAGACGGAGCCTCAAGCTGTCCCCCTGGGTAGAGTGCCATGGCATTACAGCTCACAGCAACCTCCAACTCCTGGGCTCAAGCGAGTCTCCTGCCTCAGCCTCCCAAGTAGCTGGGATCACAGGTGCCTGCCACAACGCCCGGCTATTTTTTGGTTGTAGCCGTCATTGTTGTTTGGTGGGCCCAGGCTGGGGATTCGAACCTGCCACCTTAGGTGTATGTGGCTGGCGCCTTAGGCACTTGAGCCACAGGCGCCGAGCCAATACACACATTTTTAAAGAAATTATTTGATCAAATGGCAACACACGAAGATATTTTAAACGAAAGGGCTCTATTCAGACAAAATGAATCTTTATTATAAAGTAGATGTTATTGTAAATGGCACCTAAAAACAGTTTTCCATAAATAATGTGTCTATATAAGGCATTCATCAAATCCTCATGTATTTTGAAAATAGGTTGCAGGTATAACAGGAAAACCTATAAATAGTACTTAAAAGCAGGTTTCTTAAATTTATGATGCCTATGGTGTATCATTATACACAAGGTATTTTGGGGGGGTCTATGGCTGCCACCAGTAAGACAAAGTGTCATCTCATGACAAGCAGAACCAAAGGGTGACTACGCCTCAACACCAAGTTCCCCAAACAGCATCCTAGTCTTCCAAATCCTGGGGACCTTGAATTAAGTGGGAATTTCTTTCTTTTCTCTTTTTGGAGACAGCATCTTACTCTGCTGTCCTGGGTAGAGTGCCTTAAACTCCTGGGCTCAAGGGATCCCCCTACCTCAGCCTCCCATGTAGTTGGGACCACAGGCACCCACCACAAATGCCTGGCTAATTTTTCTATTTCTAGCAGAGATGGGTTCTCACTATTGCTCAGGCTGGTCTTGAACCCTTGAGCTCTAGGGATTCTCCTGCCTCTGCCTCCCAGAGTGCTAGGTAGGATTAGGGGCACCAGCCACAGCACCCAGCCAGTAATTGGTAATTTCTAATCACTCTAGTTGAGGATAACTAGAAAAGGAGGTTGGGAAACTGGGGTTAAAAAAAGGAAAGGGAGAGGAACTCAAGGCATGCACTGTCATAGGTTTCTAAAGAGCAGCTTTAGAATTGACTGGAAATGGATTTAAACCCCCCCAAATGGTGGATGCTTGGGCCTGCACTCTGGGGACTGCAGGGAGGTGGGCATTGAACCCCGCTGCTAGGGCCTGACCTACATCCTATGTGCTTGGTTAGGAGCTGGCATAACATTAGCATGAATCTTAGCTGCAGGCCCAAGTCATTACCTGGGTGTGCTGGGGACGGGGCCGTATGCAGTTTCCACCAGCTTTCCCCCAAGTTTCCTCCCAGCATCCAAGTGACTCTATCTTTGGGACTTGGGAGGCAAGAAGTAGCAGCTTCAAGTCATAAAATCAGAAAAGCATCAGATGTGTAGGAGAACCAGATCCAAAGAAAGTGACGTCTCCCAGGACACACACTGTTAGCAGCAAACCACAAATGTGTCCAGTGATTGAAGTGAAATTGAGTGATACAGAAAAACAGAAAAGATTCCAGAAAGCCAAGGATAATAACTGAAAATAATTATGTAGCACCGATTATTACTAATTTAAGATATACAAACATCATTGACCATTTCTGTTGTATCTGTGCCATTAGTTTTATAAACATAAATATTTATGAGTGTTTTCAAAGTCTTGTAAATGACATACATTCTAGTATAAACATATAATACACCCCAGATCCTTATCACTCAGTTGATGTTACATTTAAACATAGTATATTTGGAGTTATATGTAGAATAATTTTCACAGACCATTTTCTGAACCTTGATCACACAGCTAAGTGAACACCAAAAATCACAGGAAGCATCTTATTGGAGACTTTGGCAACAAACATGTTTTTATCTATGTACGGATGCATTTACACAAAGATAGACTCTTTCATTTGTATAAATGAATGTAAAGTACTTCATAGGAGACCTTCTGCTTCCAACACTTTTCTGTTTTCTTCTCAGCTTTGCGATCAACTCTAAAGGGGAGGGCTACTCAGAGGCTCCCAGCTCCTCTTCTCTGAGTCTCCTCGTCTTCCTTGGAGGTGTGTATTTAAAAATAGTTTCATGTTTCCCCTTCAGACTAAGTGGCTCTTCTAAGATTCCTAACCTTGAGATTATAATCTTCATTATCAATACACATTTTATAAAATGATACACATTTCATAAAAACTGATACACATTTTCATAAAAACAGTAAATGATCTTATATCGCCTACTTTTAGCAGTGTGCTTTAAAAACAGGTTTGTTCTCAACACTACAGAAAATGACCTCTGAACACACCCAGGCTGAGCATCAGAGATGATCTCTGCTGTCTGGGGTTGGCAAAGTGAGACAAGCCTGAAAATGGGACGGAATAAAAAAACCGCAAGATTCCCTGGATCCACGGAACCTTGAAAACACGGACACAGCAGAATGTAAAATTATTTTCTACCCAGAGAAGAATGTTTTAGTAACTGCAGAGAGCAGTGATTTTCAACCAGTGAGCTGTGAAGAGTTTTGAAGATCATTAATTAAGATTTTTTCAAAAGATGTTCAAAACACAGTACCTATATTTTTGATCAACATAATTTAAGTGTAAGTTCAAGTGTGCAGTTAGATAAAAAAGGTTGAAAAACACTGGTCTAGAGTGATTCTGTGAGTTAGCCTTATGCACCTGTGAACTAAATGGGGTGCCCGACCTTATTCCAGGGGGTCAAGGACAGCAGTATTGGCACTATGGCATCACAGTCGCAGCTGTGCTCTCAGGAGCAGAGAGAGACCTCAACCTAGGAGAGGTTCACAACCTTAAAGCCACGGCCACCATTCACCTTTGCTTCATTTTCAAAACTAATGCCCCGTTCAGCTAACTGCAGAGACTACTGCAGCAGGGAAGGGCAATCAGCCTTTTACTGTGGTGTTAATGAGCCAACATTTCATAAATATGTTGGGAGCTGGATTCCCAGTCTGTGTCCATTTTCTCCGTGAGTGACCCAGCATGTACATTTAATAACTCAAATGAAATTACTAAAATAATAAGCTCCCCAAAACAGATTTAGGAAAATGAGATGACTGTAGATGAGCTTATTTCTATGCCTTTTTTTTTCTTTTTTTTTTCTTTTGAGACATAGTCTCCCTGTGTCACCTTTGGTAGAGTGCCGTGGCATCACAGCTCATAGCAACCTCAAACTCTTGGGCTTAAGCAATTCTCTTGCCTCAGAGTCCCAAGTAGCTGGGACCACAGGCGTCTGCCACAGGTCTGGCTGTTTTTTGTTGGAGTTGTCATTGTTGTTTTGCTGGCCCAGGCTGGGTTTGAACCCGCTAGCCTTGGCGCATGTGGCTGGCACCATAACCACTGTGCGACAGGTGCTGAGCCTGTTTCTATGCCTTTTCTAAGAAATCGCCTCATGGTGAAGAGATGCTGCTTTTGGCTGAGTTCACCTGAAGGTAATTTCAGTTGGGGCTTTTCTTAGCTATTTTATATAATAGGGAGGGGAAGGACTCAAAGTTGATTATAGTGGATAAGACAAAATAAGCATGAATGGGGCACAATGAGTGGAGCCAACCAGGGCCTCTCTCCAAGTGCCCAGGCCACACTGACCTGACAGCCCAAGGAGGGAGGCAAAGCTGTCCTCGACTCCACCTAGCTGAATACCTCTGTTTCCTAAAACATGATTCTCGCAGAAAAGAGCTCTAGAATCAAGGCCCTCCTAGTAACACCTAGGCTTGGTGTCCACAGTGTGTGGCAAACTGCCGCCCCCACAGCCGTGCTTGTGCTCACGCCTCTGACAATGGGTATCTGGCACGCTTTAAGGAGACATCTCGGCCTCTGGAGGAACAACTTGAAATTTGTGAATACAGACCAAAGAATGAAGCTGGTCTTTCCGTCACCTCATCCTGTCCAGACACTTGACTCCTGTATCCTCCTGACCCACATGAACTGCGTAAGACAAGATGGCTCCACATCACAAGGCAGTTGTGCTTAGCTGGAGGGGGACACCAGCTCAGAAATGCCTCCACCTGCCGTCTTTCCAGCTCCAGGTTTCAGATCAGTTTATAAATGACACAATGTAAGGTGAGTGTGAGCAAAGTCTGATGAGGGTTGTTCATTATCCAGTTATCTGCACAATGCCCAAATAAGTAAGGTGACCTAGTGAAGTGACCCTTCTGGTGTGAGAGAAAATTAAAACCAGTCAAATCACATCTTTCTCTAAAATTTCCCATTAAAAAAATCACTGAAGAAAGCCTCAAATTCCCTGCTGTTTAATGTTACCCTTAGCCTCGAAGTTATATTGTTTGTTGAAATTATCACAGGGACAACCCCAAGGCCCCGGTGGAGAAACTACTGTGAGGACAAAAGAACCACAGCTTGGAAAAATAAGTGAAAAAGCATTTGCATTAACACCGTGCTAAGATTTTCTTTACGTTAAAACAATAATATATCTAGAAAATACTGTGAAAATACATATCTCAAAATAGACCCAGGGTTAGTCAGAAAGCTCAGTGGAAGTTACTTTAAAATCTGACAATTAGGAGGAGTGGGAAAATGACCTGTCCGTCTCTGAGCCATCCCCTCGTCCTGCCCTCAGACGCTCCCCGTCTCAGATGCTACAGTGGAATAATAATCTAAAAGCCGTGAAAAAGTGCTGGCATTTCCAGGATCTCTTCGAGACAGTTTCCATCTCGGTAACCTGAATTCTCTCTCGGATCAAGGCAAATGACGGACTTTAAATGTATTTGGAGACACCGGTTCAAAGACCTCGTCATCATCTTCCACCCCTTCTTCTATGGGTTTCATCTTGGCGGAGGCGCGCTGGTGCGGGGATGACACATCTGTGAAAAGACAGAGAAAGAAACCCCCTTAATGCTCAAGTCTACCCCGATACCGACGTGATGGATCAATTATAAACTCCGGCTGTACAACTCTGTGGGACTCTACAGCCAGCACCAGAAACGCAATTTCCATAAACATTCTATTTTCAATTTGTCATTTCAAAAACAAAGTCAAGAGGAGATTCTCAGTCATGAGAACACATGTGGAGCAGATTCTACTGCCTATGCTTGGATGACCTGAGCTTTTCAAATATACGCAGTTCCCCGTGGGGTACCCCAAAGTCTGTTTGAGACTCAGAATGCATGTTTCAACATTAATATTATATGTAGCCATATTGATATTAAGCCGGATGTGGGGGCTCATGCCTGTAATCCCAATACTTTGGGAGTCTAATGTGGGAGGATCACTTGAGGCCAGGAGTTCAAGACAAATCTGGGCAACACAGTAAAACCCTGTCTCTACAAAAATACAAAAATTAGCTGGGCATGGTGATACATGCCTGTAGTCCCAGCTTCTTGGGAGGCTGAGGCAGGACAGCTGGAGCCCAGGAGTTGAAGTTTCAGTGAGCTTTGGTGACACCACTGTACTTCTAGCCTGGGCAACAACAACAAAATGCCCTGTCTCCAAAAAAAAAAAAAACAGTCAATGATAGTGATGTAATAATTGGACCCTGAAAGCTGACTTAACTTCTAATTTCCCTGATAAATAGTTCTATACTAAAACTATTGAACCTAACACCGTCTGTGATCCCACGTGCAAGTACATTTCTTGCTTTTTCATGTCCAGCCACTCTCTGGACTGACAGAGGAAGCAGATATGGGGCAAGAAGAGAGTCCAGGCATTCAGGATGAAGGGCCAGGCAGAAGAAATACAATTCAGTTAGCAGCAGGAGAAAGAGCATCACCAGGGCCTTCTAGGGCACCATGTAATCAAAAGAACCAAGAAATGATTCATCCATTCAGTCACTCCTTGGTTCATACACTCACCAAATGCTTATAGAGCATTTACCAAAAACGGACACCAGGCCTGATGCAGAAGGAAATACTGTCTAAAAGAGAAAAGTTCTTATCAGATTTCCCAAGGCGCCTAATGAGCCGCTCACATGGGAGCATAGACACAAGCTCCCCTCTGTATAGTCACACACTGACCGTCAGGACCTCTCTCTGCCCCACCCACCCACCTGTGCCATCTCCTTGCTGATCAAGGGCAGGGTGCATTTGGCCAGCTAGCTAATGCTGAACTCAGGCTGGGGAGAAGGTTCATGGCGCAGGGACAAGGAGTGAAACTTGACTCTTAAGTACTTGCCAACAGCAAAGGACAGTCAAGGGACCTCATTAAGACATGAAATCGATTGGCTACAAGATGACTATGGAAATCTATCAAATCAGCTATCATTTACTGGCAAGAATCTGCAATCAACAGCAGGGTTAGCCAGCACCGAGAGAATGCTGCTCTCAGCAAGGAGGGGCCGGGGCTGGTCAGACTGAGCTGGTGGTGCAGATGGCGCACTCAGCCATGGCGCAGGGCGCGGAGGCCACAGAATGGGCAAGACCAGAGGCTCAGGAAACGTTTCCGGCCTGACATCCCTGCTCCGCTGCTTCCTCAGTTACTAACCTGCTCTGGGCCTGGTTTCTCTATCTGTGGGAAGGGGATATTCACAGGACCTGCTTCAGAGGGTTGTTGGGAGGATTAAACAAAATAATGCAGGTGACGTGCTTAGCAGGGTGCAGGGTACATAGAAGATGTCAACAAATGTCATTTATTATTAACTGTCCAGCCACTGTCGTGCATTTGGGGAAATGCTATTACCATCAGTCCCTTCTTCCAATGTAGAAAGGTAATTAGTGAGGGCTGGGCTTCGGTATAGGTACTGTGTACGGGATTTACACACATAGAAATTATTCACTTACAAACATGCAAGTCAAAATACTAAGTTTCCCGAACGATAACTACTGACACAAACTGCAGAGATTACACCTCTATTAAAATGGTCCAAGAACACAGTTCTGCCCCAGACAGAACGCAGCATGGTAACTTCTCAAAGTTCCTTTCTCCTTTTCCTGCAGGTGACATCGAACACAATCTTTAATCCACGTGTCTACTCAACTGGCAACGATAACTCACTGTGTGACCTGGGCAAGTTATTTTACTTCTTCGTATCTTCTTTATCTGGCTAAGGTTTCAATGACAGTATTGATAATGTTCTTAGATAAGGGCCTGGGATATAATAATTACCTTGGAAATGTTTGTTAGAATATACAATTAATGAATTGATATAGTCTTTGGAGGGTGAGGGCTTTAGTAATGAGCAAATGTGATAAAATCAATCATTAGGGTCCATAGGAATGGCCAATAAAGGGCTTTGGGATCAAACCTGGATTTGTGTTTCTCAATCTAAGCTGTCTTGAGTAGAGTAAAATTGTCTTTTTTTTTCTTTTTCCATAGAGACAGAGTCTCATTTTATCGCCCTTAATAAAGTATACTGGCATCACAGCTCACAGCAACCTCCAACTCCTGGGCTTAGGCAATTCTCTTGCCTCAGCCTCCCTAGTTGCTGGGACTACAGGTGCCTGCCACAATGCCCGGCTATTTTTTTGTTGCAGTTCAGCAGGGGCCGGGTTTGAACCCACCACCTTTGGTATACAGGGCCGGCGCCCTATTCACTGAGCCATAGGAGCTGCCCAAAATAGTCTTTCTACTTTTTTTAAACAGCAACAGCCATGGCTTCTATCATATTTCTAGCCTGAAGTTATGACTGGGTCTCATAAAATATTCACTTAGGCTAAGTAAGTATGATTGGATAAAAACCCTTAAAACAAATAATTAGATGATGTGCCTAAGAGCATTAAACCAAATCAATAATATAAAACATTCAGACATAATTGTGTAGTACATATAACAGAAACACACCCAGTTTATCTTGTCTGAGGAAGTGGGACTATCTGGCCTCTGGTTTTTAAGCCCATTAGCCAATCAGCAGCGACATCCCATAGTCCTCTGAAGCTGGTTTC